GTGGCTCTTTTGTGAACTTGTTTCCTTCCCTAAGTAGACATGTGACAGATAGGCCGAGATGGCGATATGGAAAGAAAATTAGGTAAGAGCCTATCTCTTGGTTGAAATGCAGAACACTGGCTGCTTCCTGCAGGTCTCCATGTGGGGAGTATGCACTTAACCCACGGGGACCTCTTTGCTTGCTGGGCTCTGGAGACAATTTGCTGTGACTCTTGACTGTTGACATCACTGATTTAATAGCCTAAAGATGTTACCCTTCTAGAACCATACAGTATGCCCCTGGCAACACTGCCTTTCATGAGAACCATGGTCTGCAGGGACCAGTCTAACTTGGATAATTTTTTTAAAACAATTCTTTTTTTTAAAGATTTGTTTTTAAATTTTATGTGTATGAGTATTTGCCTGCCTATTTATGCGCCACATATGTGCAGTACCCACACAGGCCAGATGGGGGGGGCATTGGAGCCTCTGGAACTGGAGCTAGACATGGTTATTATTAGCCACCATGTGGGCGCTTGGAACCAAACCTGGGTCCTTAAAAAGAGCAGCAAGTCCTCTTGACCTTGGGGCCATCTCTAGCCCCAGAGCTGTTTTTGATGTGTTACTCAGCAACTGATTTTAAAATACTTTTAAAAAGTCAAGTATGCGTTTGAGCAAAGCTCCATTTTCCATAGCTCTATAGAAAGTAGGAACCAGGCCGGGTGGTGGTGGCGCACGCCTTCAATCCCAGCACTGGGGAGGCAGAGACAGGCAGATCTCTGTGAGGTTGAGGCCAGCCTGAAAAGAAAGAAAGTAGGAATCAGAGCATCTTTTTCTTCCTCTAATCAAACAGAAAGTAGATAAGGAAGAAAGCAGCAGAGCTGATATGTGACTCGGAGGACCTTTGGAGAATCTGGGTGTGATGTTGTTCCTTACGACTGTCGACTCAAAGGAGCAACATAGTGCTGGCAAAATTGAAGCCAACACGTGGTGGAGTGGGGTTGACCTTGGCATAGCATTAGGAGGCTGGGCCAGCTGGGACTCTAGAAACTAAAAGAGCTGAGAAATATCCACATCCCTGCAGCCACCGTTCTTGCTCAACTCCTGAGATAATTTTAAGGTCCCATTATGTAGCATAATGTTCCTTGAAGAATTCTGAGGCGGTGAGCAGGGGGCTACAAAACACAGGTGAAGTCCTGAACCTGCAGCCAGCCCAGCATGCTTTGTCTGTCCCCATTGTTGCACTCCCACCCTGGAGCAGAGGCCCTGTCCCTGTCCCACCATCTGGAGACCCACCTACTGACTGACCACTGTCTCCCTGCCACCCTTGTGACTGTATGGCCAGAAGTGGATCTATTTAAGACTTCTGGGGCTTCCTGCTGCCTTAAGAAAGTCCACAGAGTTCACTGTGGTCTATAAAGGCCAAATGTGGGTTCCCACCGTACAGCCCCCACCTCTGACCCCAGTCTGAGTCTACTTAAGCTTGCATTATTCCTGGCCACTGCTATTCTGTTGTATTTTAGTCTGTATTTCTTCTCGTTCTGTCCTGAGTGACTGCCTTTATCCTTTCTCTCTGTAAGAATTTGACAGTCCTAGGGAGCCTGTACCAGTGGGATCAAATATGTCTTACCATTTGGTGACTGCCATATGTTACCCGACATAATGTCACTGTTAAGGCACGTGTCTGGATTTCCTTTCTTTGAAGGCTGAGAAATATTTCAGTGTGTGTACACGCCACATTTTATCTATTTATCCCTTGATGGACACTTGAATTCTTTCTACATTTTTCCCATCCTGAGTACAGCTTTGCATGTGTATGTACAAATATTACTGATGTCTTTGCATAGGGGAATACTTGCATATATGTACAAATCTCAAGCTGGAAGAGGAGCCCGTGTCTGAAATAGATTTCCTGTATGCTTTATACTTACTTTTCATCCACCAAAAGTGATTTCGTGCAGTATTTCTCATGTTGTTTTCTTTGTGTGTGGATGGGTATGTATTTGTGGGTAGGTATGTTGCTCAGTGTGCCTTGGGGTCAGAGGTCAGCTTTGGATATCATTCCTCACGAGCCTGAGACAGTCTGCTATTGGCATGGAAGTGCAAGCGGGTTAGATTGGCTCATCCACCCATCTGGCTCTTCCTGCCTCCCCGACGCTAGGATTACAAGTACATGCCACCATGCCCAGCTTTTCATGTAGGTTTTGAGGGTGGAACCCAAGTCCTTATGCCAGAAATGCTTTGCCAATTGAGCCATCTCTCCAGCCCTGAAGTCCTGTTTTCAATTCTTTTGTGTTTATACTCAGTGGTAATGCTGGGACCTATGCTAATTATTATTTTAGGTTTTCCGAGGACCTACCATGCAATTTTCTGTAGTGGCAGCGCTGAGTTACAGTCCCACCAGCGAGGCACATGGTTCCTATTTCTTCACATCCCCAGCAACACATTTGATTTTCTTTAATTGTGGCTAGCCTCGTGGGGAGGTCATTGTGATGTGCATTTCCCTGATGCTCAGCGATGTTGGACACCATTTTCTAGGACTGCAGGCATGCGTATACCACCACACTGGTCATATTTCACTAATTTTAGACCATGCTAACTTGGTTCAATGTGGGTCCCAGTTTCCCTAATGGTGATTTTGATCATTCAACTTTGCACACTCTTAGTTCTTCCTGTAGTTCCAAAATATGGCGTAGTTTCATTCCCCCTTGCTCCTCATTTATGAAGGAGGAAGGGAAACAGAGCCTAGTCCTACAGATGATAGAGCAGAGATGGGGGTTGGCGCTCTCTCTCTCTCTCTCTCTCTCTCTCTCTGTCTCTCTCTCTCTCTTCTCTCCCTCCTTCCCTCTCTCCCTCCCTCCCTCCCTCCTCCTTCTCCTCTTGTCACTGTTGGATGGATTAACACTTCCTGCTCATCCCTTCTCCATCCTTGGATGCCTTTCTCTGCCTTACCTCCTGCCTGGATTGGCTCCTGTGCTTCCTCAGCTGGATCCTGGCGTATCCTCATGACAGTGTCCTTACCCGTAGGCCTGTTTTTTTGTTCACTGCTTCTCAGCACAGTTTCCATAATACAAGTTTTCCCCATGGCTTCAAGTTCTTGGATGTTTCTCTATTTCTTTCAGGGTAAAGACCACACCACTCCCATGGCACATAGGCTGCCCGTGGTAACCCTTGTCACTCACCCTTATCTTGAGCACCTTTCCTGAGCCCTGGGCTTGGAATGCCCAGACAATGTACCCAGATTTCCATAACTTCCTGGTGGTCTTGGCCAATAAGACCCGGTACCTGCACTCCAGCTGCAACCCACCCTTGCCTGCTGCGCCCTCTGCCTACCTCTTGGCAGTGGGCCTGATTATAGTGTAACTGTCCCTTCTCCACTCCCAGTTGGATTTGGCCGCCAAGAGCAGAGACTTAACATTAGCCCAGTGCCTTTCACAAAGGTAGGTATTTGTAGAGAGGTGGAGAGAGATAAATAAGGAAAGTGTGAGATTTCTAGATCTTGCCTCTGTCCTAGACACCGCCCTCTGTCATGTCCTCCCAGTCCAGGGAGGCTGAAGTTAGCAGGAACTCCCATAGTGACCCAGTTCAAAATTGCTTCTTTCTCTGGCCACCGTGAAGCAAGCTGAGCCTGGCCTACCTTCTGGTAAATGCATCCCAGCAGAGATGACTCATCTGTGTGTGACTCAGGCTCAGCAGCACAGCTGGAAGGGCAGCCAGCACGTCCACAGGGGAGGGCAGTCACAGAGCCAGAGCCCCAGGCAGGCGGCGTGTGCCAGCCAGCCTCCTGCAACCTTGTGCCTGCTCACCCGAACAAGCCTATAAGCTGTCCTCTCTCAGCTGGCATAGCTGCACTGGCTTCTGCTGAGCAGGAGGCTGAGGCAGGAGGATTGGCACAAGGTGGAGGTCTACATAGCAAGGCCCTGACTGTAAAAACAAACAATTCTTCTGCCTGGTTTAATAATTTAATAGAACTGTTCACCATCTGCTGGAAGCCTGCTACGATTTTAGGTTCTGTGCTGTAGACCTTTCCTTGTTTAATCCTCACAGTCGCCCAGCAACAGAAGTAATAATATGTACCAAATGCACATACACACACTACACATGCGCACATGCTTGCACCGCTCATCCACACATACATACTCATGCACATAAAAATACCCGAACACAATCCTCATGTGCGCGTGCACACAAAGGCACACACAATGTGCCACACTTACTGTGTTAAGTACTTTTCTCAGTGTGGTGACAGCCTAGCTGGTTCAAGAAGAGAGGGTCTGTTTGGGCTCACAGTTGGAGAGCACAGCCTATCCTGGCCGGGAGGACACAGTACGGGACTTTGCAGCAGCCGCTTGCATTATATCCACAGTTGGGAAACACAGAGGCAGGTGCTCAGCTGGCTCTCTCCTTTTATTCCATTCCTTGAGATTGTGCCGTCTCCATGCACGGAAGGTTTTCCCTCTCCAGCTAAACATTTCTGGGAGCACCTTCAGAGTAGATCCAGAAGTGTGTTTCCATGGTGATTCTAAATTCAGGCAGGTTGTCAGAATCATCGCACAGTACTTACCATGAATTCATTTATTTTTTATAATACTCTGTGATACCGGAGCTCTTATCCTTACTTCCAACATAGAAACCTGAGGCTCCGAATGAGGCCTGACAGACAGGTGCCTCATAGTGGTGTAGGAAGGACAGAACTATGACATATGGAGAAAACTGAGACCCAGAGAGGTTTGTCATTTACCCAAGACACATGGCCAGGCACTGCCTTTCTGCCCGTTCTCTAGAACCATGCAGACATCACCACATGGACTCGGTTCTCCGTGGCCCTCCCATGGGTGCTTCCCAAGGACTGAGTCCAGAAATAAGGCAGGGTGCTGGGGCAGAAGCTTTCTTCTGAACTTGGGTGCAGAAGAGGAGGGGTACTGAGAGAGTGCTGTGTTCTCCATCTCTTTCCCCTTTGTTGGGGTCTCAGAGCATCTCCTCACCTGGGGCATGCTGACAAGATCCCTTTTATCCCACAGACAGCGAGACAGTCCACTACCACTATGGCCCAAAGGACCTGGTCACCATCTTGTTCTACATCTTCATCACCATCATCTTGCATGCTGTGGTACAAGAGTACATCTTAGACGTAAGTCACAAGTTTGTATTCTGGGGTCAGAAGCTGGGCAGTCCTTTAGGATGGTCTGCCTTACCTTGAAGAAAAGCACAGCCCTGATTCATTCTGTCTACTAACTTAGATCCTCTGGTTGCCAGAGGCTAGACTCCGCCACTGCTCTCTTTCTGTCCTCTTTCTTAGATTTTTTTAGTTCACACGCGGGGCAACAGTTCATAATGGGGCAAGCTGTCTCGAAGACAGCATGAGCATATCCTCGGGATCCTTCAAACACAGCATGACTGGAAGATGTTTTCTTTCCACAGAAGCATACGGTCCAGACACCTACTGCTTTCTCAGAGTGCTTACCTGAAACTCAGCACTGTAGGCACTCAATAGGCTTAAACTAAATAGGCTGGGCTGTGAGGAGCTGGGACTACTAACTCTTTTGTAAAGGGGAGGCACGGGAGCGTGGAACCTGCCGGGGATCTGCATGCTCACTTATTAACGTCTGGAGTTTTTTTTTTTTTTCTTCTCTAGAAAATCAGCAAACGGCTTCATCTCTCCAAGGTCAAACACAGCAAGTTCAATGAATCTGGACAACTGGTCGTCTTTCATCTCAGCTCGGTGATATGGTGCCTCTACGTGGTGGTAACGGTGAGTGACTGCTGAGGAGGGAAAGCCAAGCCACCGAGCATGCCCTTCATTGCCGATGAAATGACTGTGAAGGGCTTAATGGGAAGGAAACGAGCTAGGAACAGGTGCTTTGGAATGGAAGCTTGTTTTGCGTTCTCCTGGAATTGTAGGGAGCGGCTAGGTTAAGTAGTATAGATGCCACTGAGTGGAGTTGTCGTCTTTTACAAAAGTAAGCACTTTTTACACTTTTTGCCTGTATTACATGATAGGCATCCACATAACTCTGTGTTGTTTTATCAACCCTGTCTTCAAACACCATCTCACAAGGTAATTTCCCCCCCAGTACTGGGCCTTGTCCATGGCAGATAAATGCTCTTCCCATGAGCTACATTCCCCAACCACAAGATAAACTCATGTTGTTCACTCAGAACCTCTGATGGTGACTTGAGGCTCCCAAGCTCGGTTTTTCCTGTGCTTCCACAGCCGTGTACTTCCAAACATGGCTCGGACACGGAGGTCTGGCTCTGTTTGCGTCGCTGTGATACAGACCACAGGAAGGAGGGACGACTTATGCCGGCTCCTAGTTTCGGTGCTCTCCGTCTGTGGTGACTGAGCCCACTGCTCTCAGCCAGAGGAAAAGTGAACCATTGTATGGACCTTGTGGAACCGAGTGTCTTACCTCACAGTGGGTGGGAAGCAGACACTCAGAGAGGAAGGAACCAGGGTCAGTGTACCCTCTTCAAGGGCATGTCCCAGTGACCTACTTCCTGTCTAGGACCCACCCCCTAACAGTACCACAATTAATGCCACACAATCCAGCCACTTCTCCAAAGCCCCAGCCCTGAGCATTGCACCAGAGTTCAAGCCATAAATACACAAATTTTATGGGCGTACTTCATGTCTAACCAATTAACAAAGGCCAGCATCAACCTTCTGCACATCAAATCCTTTGATAGAGGAAAAAAACTTCCTTCAGACAAGGACTTTGAATTGTCATTTGGGGGTTCACTGTAAGGAGACCCTGCCTGTTTTACTGTTGTGCTAGCTGCCACCCTCACCGGGAGCAGCTTTTGTCTATAATCAGGTCCCGGCAGAAAGCCAGCCTGGGATTTGGAAATATCATCAGCTCTCTGGCCTCAAAGATTCTTCCCTGCTCTGCTGCCTCCCCTCTGCTCTCACTGACAGAGATGGCCCTCTGTCAGTCATAAGGAGCCCTGTCTCCAGAGCTGACCTCGGAGAGACTGCATAGACTCAAAGGAGGAGGCAACATGTCCCTTCTGTGTGTTGCTTTTATTCCTATTATAAGGTTCATCTCAGAACACTTTCTGAGCAGCACACTAGGAATTTTAAATGGGAGACCAAAGACTTCCGTCCTCTCAGAGGGGACTTCCACATTCCTGCTCTCCGGGGACAGGGTCACATGGCACCAATAGGGCTCACTGCCCTTGTGTAGTGAGTCTGTGAGCCCCTCCCAGCTTCCTGACATTGAGTTCAATCCCACTTCTTGGAGGCCTTAGCTGCTTGAGGCAATAAGGCCTCCGAGTACCAAAGACACTGGTCTGTGTTGTGGGGAGCATCACCTCATCTCTGAAGCCCTTCTGCCTTTGCATCCTCACTGTAGCCTCCCACCCTGCCTGTGACCCAACTCAAGGTCTTCTTGGGGGAAATTCTCAGGTCCTTTATCTGGGGAAAGCCCTTTCCCCACTACTACTGAACATGCTCAGGAAGACTTGGAGACCAGGGACCCATGCAGGCCCCTGGCTTTGCTTTCTGCGCTCACCTCCTCTCTCCCAGCGATCTGCATGAGAGAAGGACGCCGAAGAATCTGAGAAGCCTATGTAAAGGGAGCAGAAACACATGGTTTTCAAATCACGGTTTTCTGTCGCAACAGAAAAGTGTCATGATTCTTCCCTGTCCTCCACTTCCCAAAGTCATCAGATCCTGTCTGCTCTGCCTTCAGAATTCCAAAATTCTGAACACTGCTTTCCATATGGGCCACTCCCCCAAGTCCGTGGACCCCCACATAGGACAGATGTTGGTCATGTGCCCCTGGCATCTCTAGGATGCTCTTCTCTTTCAGTTGAGAGGAGAGCCTTCCAGGGAAGCGCCTCTGGCTCCTGCTGTCACTAATGTAAAAGATTGGGAGCCCAGGCCCCTCCCCCTTTGCCCTGCTGCTCACTTCTTCCTTTCCTGGGGAGTGCACTTCATTCTGGGTCCTCCACTCAGCCCATTATCTGCTCCTCCAGATGGATCTCTTTAGAGTGTGAGCCAAGTCCTGTGCTCTCCGACTTGAAATAAGTTTCCTTCGCAGCTGCAGTGAAATTGTTTTCTCTTCCTCGCTTATGTGGCCTGGGTCCTAGGACCTTGCTGGTGATATCAGCGTGGACTCTCACTCTATGACCAGCTCTGCTCCTCCAGGTCTGCCAGCCGCTTCCTTTGCTGGAATGTTCTGTCCGCAGACATCAGATGGCCAGCCCTTTCCTGCCATCTCTCCTCCTCCTAAGTGTCACCTCCTCAGGACCCTCCTCCCCAGTTGCACTTTCCACGCCACGCCTGTTAGCGGTGTTTTACTGCTTCATGCATGTATTCTGCGTGTCTGACTCAAGCTGTCTCCTCGCAGGTACCGTGCTCCCTGCCGTTCCCTTAGTGCAGTCCCCTGCACATGGTAGGAAAAATGACATCCTCATGAGGATGTCCGGGTTTAGGTAGCAGCTGGCTGTGTTATGTCTAAACCCTGCTAGTTTTGCGGTTCTTGTTTGGATACAAGAAAGGAAGGCAGCTAGGGAAATTGGAGGAATTGCTCCGGCATGCTGAGGCCTTGCATGGGTAGATGTCAGGAATTGGAAGAGAACAAAAGTGTTTCACATGTAGCCCCGGGCCACCTGTCGAGGCCTGGTTTGGGCTGGAAGGGGTTACAGCGCACACAATGTCGCTTGCGACCCTGGAGCTCAGATGCCTTGGCATGCCCGAACTCAGCAGCCAGCCCAGCCCTCCTTCGTCCTCCCTCAGACAGCTGCCTAGACAGGGCTGGAAAGGGCTCCTCACAGAGTGTGAGTCACTTTTCCTTTGACTGTCAGCTCCACCTCCTCCAGTCCCAGAGGACTGGACATTTGCAGGCCGCCAGCATTTTTCTGAGGAGTTTTTTTGGCTCGTTGGCTTCCAAGTTCTGACCTCTCTGTCTCCTAAGTGAAGAGGCCAGTCGAGAAGTTCCTGTTTAAACACACAGACCCACCCAGGCCTTGGGTCTCTGGGGTGCCACGGATCCTGGCCTTTTGGGCAGAAATCCCCCCCGCCAATCCACTGCCGGCCAGTCCAGGAAGTACCACTCTTCTTGTTAAATACATAGCTGCTTCCTCTAGGAAGGGGCCATCTCACCCTCAGGGTTTCTTGGAATGAGGCCGTGTGGCTCATCGGGTGTCACTGTGTCCGAGGACAGAGGTCTGATAAAGGCTAGAGCGGGGTCAAGAGGTGAGACAGAGAGCAGCAGTGTGGTGTGTTAAAGCTCACTCCTACGGCGGGCTCCCACCCCAGTGCCCCAGTGCCCAGAGCACTGCACCTCTGTGCCTCACTGTGCGTCACTGAGGCAAGAGGGAGGTAAAGGCTGGACAGAGACGATATGGGTTGGAATTAGACCTCTTCCTCCCATTCTAGGTGGCAGGTTCTGTCTGGTACAGGTGTCTGATTGGCCCTGTCACTGAGGTCACCTAGCTCCCTGTGCTCCTGGAGGCCCAGGGTTGTAGCTTCAGGACTGTGGACAGTACTCAGAGGGCTTGGTGTAGGTGACAGGGCCTTAAGGACTTGAGGGCAGGTGGGTCAGCTCTGCTTGGAAACACAGCTTGCAGTTCCAGTGGACACTAGCTTTGAGTGATGATGTCACTAGCCTGTCCCCTTTCTCGTTCCCCAGCTCAGATCGCAGCTGAGCTACTGGACAAACCTCACCTCGGGAGATCTTTCCTCTCTGTTTCTTCATATCCCCGCCCTTAAATTTCTTCAGAGAAGAGCTGTTAAAAGCATTCACTCATTCATTCCGTTGACTAACATTCGTTTTGGACTTTCGCTGGGCGTGGACTGGTGATGGGGGAGAGTCTTCTGTTTTGTGTTAATTTCATTGGTTAAATAGAGACTGCCTTGGCCCTTTAAAATTACATAAAATTAGGTAGTCGGAGTAAACGGAACAGAATGCTGGGAGAAAGAAGCTGAGTCAAGGAGTCACCATGATTCTCCCACTCCAGACAGACACAGGTTAAGATCTTTCCTGGTAAGCCAGCTCATGGAGCTACGCAGATTATTTGAAATGGGTTAGATCAATATGTAAGAGCTAGCCAATAAGAAACTGAAACTAATGGGCCAGGCAGTGTTTAAAAGAATACAGTTTCCGTGTAATTATTTCGGGTAAAGCTAGCCGTGCGGGCGGCCGGGTGCCGGGGACGCAGCCCACCGCTCTTATTACAACAGACTGGTTCCTCCTGTGTCTTGTCATCTTACGATAAAGATTCGTCTTGCCTGTTTTTTCGGAAAGCTGTAGGCCTTTGGCTGAAGAGAATGCCTTGGTTAGGATTTCTGTTGCTGTTATGAAACACTGTAACCACAAGCAACTTTGGGAGGGAAGGTTTATGATCTCAGAGCCTGCACCCACCATCCAGGGGAGTCAGGGTCATGGTGTGCCCAGTTGGGAAGCCGAGCACAATGAATGCTGGGTGGTGCTCAGCTCTCATTCTCCTTTTTATCCTGCCGTGGACCCACATGGTGGTGACAACCACAGAGCAGTCTTCCCTCCTCAGCCTAATTTAGAAACTTCCCCGTAGATATGAGCAGGTTTTCCTGTCGGTGAGTCTAGAACCTGTCGGTATGAATCATCACAAGGATGTGAAAAGCTTCGGTCTCCAGTGGGTACTGCAATTCTAGTGTATTTAATCCTTTATTGTGGAAACAATTCCAGAGTGTATGTATGGCAGATACCACATTAGGTACTGTCACATAAACTCACGTTTATAAGAACTCTATCAAATTAGTACGCCACTTTTCAGATGAGCCTCCGGAAACTGGGAAACTCACGAGCTGTTCCAGTAGATGTAGCCACTGTAAGACCCATCTTCAGACACAGGTGGCCAGACCTCAGAACATTGGCATGTCCCTTCACAGTTGAAGTGCCAGTGGGTCCTTAACACTGGCGTCCTCTGTTCCCAAAAGCTGTTTCTTCCTCTTGGTAACTGATGGAGGCCAGGTGCATCCCTGATCCCTGGACCTGTCACAGACCCCAGCGGGTCTCATGGCTATGTCTCTAAATGCCTTCTCTTCTCGCCCACCATAGGAAGGATACTTAACGAACCTGAGAAGCCTCTGGGAAGATTACCCACATGTGCACCTTTCGTGAGTATTTTGTGTGACTCACTAAGGCCACTGAGGACCAGGTCGTGACCTGACCTGTCGAGCATGGGGTTGTAGGCAGTAGTCTGTCTTCGAGAATCTCCGCTTGAGGCATTATCTTTATTAGCTCCAGCCATAGAGCTTCCTAGTCTGCTTGCAACAGATGCAAACAGAACTCCCCATCAGGGTCTCTGCCTTTCTGTCTTGCTGGAAACCCCAGAAGTTCATACATCTTCCATATTCCTTTTCCTGTTTGTGATGCTGCCAAGACCTGGGCCTGTGTCTCTCTGGAGGCCACCCTGTGTCCCTAAGGGATCTCAGAGCAGCAATAGCAAAGGGTGTGGAGCTTTGAAACCTAGAGCCTCTCTATTGTTGCATTCAGTGGTTGCCATGACCACACACTGTGCTGTAATCGGCTGCGTCCTCAGCTTTTCCTTTTCTGGGCTGAGAAAATGAGTGTGACCATTACTGCTTCCTCCCATGCACGTACCTTGTCCTTTGAGTGGTCTTATACGGGTGCTGTGGGTACGGTGGTCTCTGCTTCCCTCCCTCCCTCCCTCCGTCCCTCCCTCCCTCCCTCCCTCCCTCCCTCTCTCCCTCCATCCTTCCTTCCCTCACTTGCTCCTGGTCCTGCTGGTTACCGACAACCTTGGCTTAGGCCTTTCCTCCTGTTCTTGGCAAGTACCCTGGGGGTGTTCTCGGTTCCACTCGTGTTTTTTAACTCCCTGGTCTCCAGCTTCCAGGTGAAGTTTTTCTACTTGTGTCAGCTGGCCTACTGGCTGCATTCGCTACCTGAACTTTACTTCCAGAAGGTACGGAAGGTGAGTACTCCCTTCTCCTGCCCCCCCCCCCCGAGACACCTCTTCCCCACAGCCCTCCTGTTGTTTCTGGTGACCTCTGTCCCCCACTTTGGAGACCCCTCTTCCCCGCAGCCCTCCTGTTGTTCCCAGTGACCTCTCCTTTCCCTTCTTCTGGAGGCATGATGTGTTGGCTCATGACAGAGTCAGCTTTTGTGATATTTCCACACCAACCTCCAAGAGAGAAATGTCAGTGTCTGGACTCCTCCACCAGGTGTGTGGCCATTGGCAAAATCTAATCTAGATACTGGACAGAGGAGAAAATCTTGCCATCCCCAGTCCTTCTTGTTGTTTTCCTCAGAGTAATGCTAAAAACTCTCTTCCAGTTCCCATGTCTTCCTTCCCAGCCCGGACCTGCTGTCTGGCTCCAGGCTCCACACAGCTGGCCCACCCTCTTGTCACTAGCCCAGGGTATAGGGTGACTGTGCGGGTAGGGAGACCTGGCCCTGTCTTGTTCCCCTTACACATCCCTCGGTCCTCTGCATATTCCTTTAGAGAATGACCATGCTCACTCTCCGCCCGTCTCTTTTCCAGGAAGAAATCCCCCGCCAGCTGCAGTACATTAGCCTGTACCTGCTTCACATCGCTGGGGCATACCTCTTAAAGTGAGTGAGAGTGGAGCCAGCCCCAGTTCCTTGACCTGCGGTGCCCCTGGGTCTGTCCACATGGTCTCCAGCTAGCAGGCATTTGGTAGATACCAACTGTTGAAGGAGTACCATGCTGAGGCTTGGGAATACAGCACGTGCATCGTTCTTCACCTGGTCAGAAGGGAAGACAGTTGTATGAGCTCTGAGATGCTGGGCCTCAGGAGCCGTCAGAGCCCAGCGCAGTCAGCCTCCTCAGTCTGAGGCAGAGCCGAGGAAGACTTCCCGCCGAGCTGTCCTTTGAACTATACCTTTGCAGCCACCAACTGGGCTCCTGCCACATGGCGTCCAAATGCTGCTGGAGCATATAGGCCTAGAGTTCATCTCAGTTTGGCTTCGTAATGAAATAAAGAGCAGCTGACTGTATGGTTGTTCTAAAAGTGGGAAGAGTTTCTGCGTTAGACCTTAAGTATCGCTTTTATGAATAGTACCTTGATGAATGAGCTATGCCATTGGTAACTGGGCTTTCCATGTAGGAGTAGAACCCGAACTTTGTGTAGACTAGCCTTTGAGAGCTTCACTGTGGTGCGCAGATGTCCTGGGGCCCTGGTTCTGAGGAACTCACAACAGGCTTCCTGTAAGAATGACTGACGTGTGTTTACATATGTGTGTGCGTGCGTGTGTGCCTGTGTATGTTTTGGAATCCACCAGATCTCAAACTCTGGCTTCCTGTCTCTGGACGCCAAGAACCATGGCAGCTGTTCCAGCTGTGCTCCTACTTTGGGTGCTCACAGCTCACAGGCAGAGGGGTTATGGTCACTGGTTTGCTCCCCAGCCGTGTGTATTGAGCCATACAGTGGGGAGAACTTCCTGCTGCCTCCGATAGTAGGAAGTCAGACAGCAGGAATTCTTCATATATGTACCCACAGAGCTCAGCAGCCTTCTTCGGGGGCCCCCTTTTGTGTGTGATTCTGGCAGACTGAGAATGGAGGGTGCAAGATCCCGTGACATGTATGAGTCAGGTTCTTTGTGGGAACAAGTAAGGGTAGGTGACCTAGAAAAAACCAGGTCAAAGGCTGGGAAGTCTGTCTAGGGAAAGTACCTGAAGGTTTAGCAGCTCGACTGTGAAAAAAGATAAGGTATAGTCTGCATGCCCCTCCAAGAAGTGGAAAATAGAATCCAGGCACAGGGAGCAGTCTGAGCCACCACAGGCTTCTGCTCTCGGGCAGAAAGTAAGGCTTGTCTTTCTTCCCAGCCTGAGCCGCCTGGGCCTCATCTTGCTGCTGCTGCAGTACTCAACGGAGTTCCTCTTCCACATGGCTCGACTCTTCTACTTTGCAGATGAGAACAACGAGAGGCTGTAAGTGGGGTGCTGGGTGCTGGCCTGTCTAGAGACCTTTGGGGTGGCACCAGCGCATCTCCCGAGGTCTGGATGGTTGGAGGCTTTTGCTTTGGGTGTCAGCTGCCCCCTTAGTGCAAGCAGCACCCTATGCTTATTCATGTATTAGAACGTCTGGAAATCTCTCCTGGGTCCTGTCTGATTCCCTGTCCCACTCTGGGTTGATTCTGGAGAAGGGGTTGGAGGTTCCTTGAGGGGCTCTCAAAGCTGACACTCCTTTTCTGCCCCTGTGAGCAGGTTTAATGCCTGGGCTGCTGTGTTTGGGGTCACACGCCTCTTCATCCTCACTCTCGCCGTGTTGGCCATTGGCTTTGGATTGGCTCGGGTGGAAAACCAGGTGTTCGACCCTGAGAAAGGGAACTTTAACACCTTGCCTTGCAGGTGAGTTGGCAGAAGCCTGAGGTGGTGAATCGAGGCTCTCTGAGCACTGCCAGGCACCTCTTGAACATGACACATCTTCCCAGGTGGTCAGGGAGGAGGAGACCCTTGAGGCTCCCACACAGTGACACTTAGGAGCAAGTCTGTTGACATCAGTCTCCTGCTTCCATCAAACATGCTTCTCAGCTTCACTGGGCTCAGACCACAGTGAGGACCCATGCAGTACGGACCCCTCATCCCTGCTCAGCACATCACTGTGCAGAAGACGTTTCTCATCCAGGCTAGGTTGATCGTGACACCCTCATGAGACTTTGGAGCTTTGCCCTCTGTGTCTTGCTCTGTGGCCTTCCCTAGTGTCAAGGAAAACAGCCAGAAAGCTATGTGGTCCATGAAGCTATAGGCATTGGAGCACAGGCAGTCTGTCTAGGGTTGTTCCACTGTTACGTGACATGCTAGAAGAGAATTATTCGGTACTCTCATAATTTAGTTCACTTGAATGTTATTAATATAACGTTACAATATTAGTAGAGCTTATATTGCTCTGCCTGTGGGCCATGCACATGGGAGAGATACAGCCGTGGATCTGTAGGATGAGTGTGAACGTGGGGGGTGAGTGTGTAACTGGCACCATCTCCCTCCCATCCCCTTGGGGCCTTCACCTCCCATTGCTGAAGCATGCTGGAGCGGCTGTGCTGAGGACGGGCCACAGGAACTACAGGGATCTGGCCCGGCTGCCCCTACACCTCCTTCCTCACCCTCGGATCCTTCTCTCCCCTTCCGCAGGCTCGGCATGCTGCTGCTGGTGTGTGTTGCCCAGGCCTGGCTCATGTGGCGCTTCATCCACTCGCAGCTGCGGCACTGGCGGGAATACTGGAAGGAACAGAGCGCTAAGCGCAGAGTCCCAGCTGCCTCCAGGCTTCCAGCCAGGCCCGTCAAGAGGGAACCTGGTGAGTGCCAGGGCTTTGGCCGAGAGCCAGTGGGCGGGGTCTGTCTGCGATGGGTGAAGTAGAGTTGGGACCTGGCTCTTAGGTACTCCACAGACCGGTACTTCTGGCTCCTCCTTCTAGATACTTCTTTCAGGCCTGGGGCTCGATGACCAGCATGTGGCTGGGCATTAGCCAGAGACCTAGTATGAGCGGGCTGGCCACAACGGGGCCTTGATCCCTGGCCACTATGCTTCAGGGCAGCAGTGGGTAGGGACTTCTGGAAGGAAGTATGTCCTCTGGGTGGCTTCTGGCAGCCACTCAGGTTCTGCTGCTGTTGCTGTTGCTGTTGCTGTCACCCATGCCCTGTGCTACACGGTGGCTGTGTCCTCACCTGCCCTTGTGCCCTACATCTCAGCCCACCCCTGCCTCCAAGGCTGTTAGCTTCCCATCTCTCTTCAGGAGTGACTCATAGTGACGCAGTGTTAGGGATAAGCGGCAGGGATGCGACACCCCCATCTCCTTTGACTCTTGAGCCTTCTTGAGTGATCTCCTATACCCAGAGGCCCTCAGACATCCCAGCCCTAATCTACTGCCCAGCCTGGGGGCCCATCTGCATGCCTGGTTTCTGACTCACCTGCAGTTTTCCAGGCAGCTGCCTGCCTGGCAAGAGCTCCTGTGTTTGTATGCGGCTGGATGTGAGGAGGCCTGAGGGAAAGGGGTTGGGAGGAGGGGTTTCTGTGCGACTGCAACTCAGTGAGTTTGTGGAGATGCTTTTCCTCAATAAAGCCTTGCACAATTCTACAAAAGGAGTGTCAGGCTTTGTCCCTGAAGCAACTTGTTCCCCATCTCTCCTCTTCATCACCAATTGGTCCTCTGTGGGGCTGAGGGATTGAGGATGTTAGAGGTTCAAGCCAGCATTGCTCAGATGTCAGCGTAGGTTGCTTCTTGTTTTTTGGTTTCTGTATGTCACCCCAGATGCTCTCCACTAAAAGATAGTCAAAGACCAAAAACCTGAGGCAAAGGCACTTATCAAAGACACTAGGGCAGGCAGCAACCCTCCTGTACTGTCTGCTGGCTTCCGTTGGTACAGCCGGGTTCCTCACTGGATGATCTACGATCAACAAGGCCATGTCCCCAACCATCAGGCACTCCCACCCTCCATGCCTCCATTTTCCGGCCTCAGTCTTAGCAGGGCCCTCACGAGGTCTCTCTCCGTTCCCAGGTTACCATGAAAACGGTGTGGTGAAAGCAGAGAATGGAACCTCCCCACGGACTAAGAAACTCAAGTCTCCCTAAGGCCAAAGTGCTGAGAACGGGATTCACTGGGTGAGGGCCCAGCGGGAGGTGAGAAGCACTGACTCCAGCTCAGCCTCTCCATCCTCCTCGCCATGCTCCATCTCCATCAGCAGAAACCTTGGCGTCACAGGGGGAGTAGCTCTCGACCTTCTTGGCTTTCTCTTCTTCCACAAACCATTTTCAATAAAGCCAAAAATCTTCCTCTCTTGCTCCCTTGAGCCACCTCCTGGCCTCACCTCTATCCTGTTTTGGGTCTTCTCAGAGGCCTAGATTTTCCTACATGTCTTTCTCGCTCACCTCTTTCTCTTCCTTCATGGCTGTTTCTCTTTCTCCTCACTTCCTGACTTTAATGTGCAATTTCTCTGTTTTTTGTTTTTTTTTTTTTTTTTTTTTTTTTTTTTTTACAATGAGAGGGAGCTAAGATGGCAGCGGTCCTGTCTGTCAGTCCCAGGACCTGTCTATCTGGAAGCCCCTTGCCAAGGAGCTTCCCTCAGAGCTGGTGGCAGATCCTCAGTGGCCTTTGTGTGGATGGGCAGGAGAGAGAAAGGCCATCCCTCTTGGATCACAACATTCTTGGTGCTGACTGACTGACAAGATGTAGAATTCTGGTTCTACACGTCCCATCCCCAAGTGGTTTGCTTTGGGACACAGTGACTTAATCCAGAAAGACAGTGTTAATTAACTTTTGAGTCCCAGGACTCCAAAGAGCTTCCAGTGCTGCATTTGAGTTGGAAACCAGCCTGCCTTCACTCTGGGGGGACTGCTAAGAACATGCCTTCTTCCCACTTCTACCGCAAGAGCAAAGCATGGCGGACGGCGGCCTCTCCTGGATAGGTGGCTTGGCGAGAAGGACAGAAGAGTCCGTCTGGACCTTTCTCCAGCTGTGCCAGCAGCTGGACTTCCTTAACCCGTCCACCAGCATCCAAAACCAAAACAAACAGCAGTTACAAACCTGCCCAAGATACGCCGCTCCCAAGTCCAGAAGCAGCCTGCCCATATGGGACTGGATATGCGTCTTAGACTTCATCTCCCAAGCTGCAGGAACGTGAAGCCTCAAGGCCTCCATCCCTGTGTGGGCTCCTGGTGTCCTCGGGAGGGTCACCTGGCCACCCTTCCTCTGGCTGCACCTGAGTGTTCTTTAAAATTGTGTCCTTTGCTGACATTGCCGAGCACACCCAGAGCATGGTGATGGGGCGGTGCCTCAGGGTCACTCCTCCAGCTGTGTGAGCAGACACAGTCCTGTCCACAGGAGTCTTCTTCTGACGTCATAGTAGAGACCAGAGCTTGAATTTCTGCCCATAAACAGGGAGATGGGTCTTCATCGAGGCAGCTTCCTCTCTCCAAGTCACTAACAACGTGTGTAAAGTGTAACTTACCAGTATTTGAGGAATTTGATTCCAAACATCACTGTGGCATTCTTTTCCCCTCTGTATCCAGGATAAGCATACAGAATAGGGATAAGATTCTCTTGGCTTCTTCTGGGTGCACGTAGGAAGCAAGGCAGAATTTTGAAAGTACGTTTCTGCATTCTCTCTCTCTCCTTCCCGGGCTCTTGGCAGCCCTCACAGAGCTGGTCTGGCACTTTTTAGTCAGTGTAGCCCAATATTCTGGTTGTGATTTTAATTGAGCTCATGCTTGTGACACTGCCTAGAGCTGTGTAGAGGTTCAGCCAGCGGTTCTCAAATCCACCTCAGGCCGTTAGTCTAGGTGTCCTCCCAGACCCTCCCCAGGCTATGGCACTGGCAGGCCATTACCAGCTATTGGCAACAGTTTTGTCGCCAGGCTGGGCTGTTGATACTTGTGACAAGCATGTGATATGTAGAGGTCTTGCAGAAAGAGGTACAAAGAGCAGGTGTCATTCTAGATCCAGCAGCCTCGTCACTGTGTGTGGGTTTCTGTTATTCTCTCCTGGGACACTTGGAGGCCTGACATGATGTGGCTTCATTCCTTAAATGTCTTGCAAGCTTCCCGTGTTGCTAGTCTGTGGGATGTATTAACAGGAATCCAATATCTGGAATGATGTAGGCTCTTCTAGAACATAAGTGTTTGGTCAATGGTAGGAGTTAGGACAGTGTTTATTTCCAGAGAAAAGGCCTGAGTCCAACGGCCATACCTCACCAGCATCGACTTCAGGGATGTTTGTTGGCTTAGGAAAACTACAGGCAACTTTCTTATCCACCCAGGCTCTCTGGAATCGGTGTTGTAGGAAAGCCAAGACTTTGGTAAGTTGGCACAAATCATGTTGCCAGAATTCCAGTAACTAAGTTCCACATCATCCTGTAAGCATGCAGGCTAGCTTGTTCTAATTTGAGCACCGTGGCCTCATTGTTCGTTCTTACCAAGTCTCTCCTGTCCCCAAAGTGCCACAACCCTAGTGAAGGACCTGCCACGTTCCTCTATTCTAAGATGCTCGGCAGTATCCGCCAAGACCAGAAGATGCTCTTCTCTACCTCAGCAGCCGTTGCCTGTTTCTCAGCATCCCTAGGATGCCAGCAGGCAGGAGTGGCAGGAGTGGTGAATGGTGAATTCCCTGCTGCCAGTTGCCCTCCTCAGAGGATTGATGATGGGACATTTATTTTTACAAGTTGTCCAGGCATGGGTGCCTACACTATGAGTAAGCTTTGTGTGCTCCTCCTACAGCCCAGTGGTTCTGGAGGATGTGGGAGAGAAGCAGACTAAAGCTAGAAAGGGAGGCTTTCTGCCATTGCAGTCAGTCCTAACCCTGTGTGCCTAAATGGTTATGGCTAGCACTACCTAACCTATCTAAGGGTGACCTTAAATTTAGATGCCTGTGCTCTGGCTATGGACGCCATGCTTTTGTGGAATACTTGGGACCGTATGAGCCCATGAAGGTAGATGCCTCCTCCTTTGTCCCCATTGGCATTTTTCCTGAGTGGTTAAAAAGGGGCGTGGGGAGCAGAAAGAGTGCATTCTCCAGAAACGTCTACAATGCTCATGTAAATTCCCTGCATCCTTAACTTAAAGAAACCCACTGACTCTTTCAGCTAGGGAAGGCCTTTGTATGTGTTTTTGATGGGCTTCAGCCTTCCCAGTTGGGTTTGCAGAAGTCCGGAGTGGGAGAAAGTAGAGGGTCTAGGCATAGCTAACATTCTCTGCTTACAGGCCTCCAAGTCTCCAGCAGACAAATTTACATTCTTGATCTCTGGCCTCTGTGCTTCACTGGTGTAGAATGGACTTAAGTAAGGCCTGTGGGTCAGGACAGTAGGGTGGTCGTCTCCCTTGCACGACCTTCTGAGCTTGCAGCTTCTTTCCTCAAAAGAGGGGCAATATTAATGTCAGAGTTGGAAACACCCATAGGATCCCTCTCCGGCCTTCGGTTAGCATTAGGAGGACGCTATCACCAATTTCTCACCCTTCACCCTGTTGCTCATGCAAACATTACTTTCATTGCGCATCTTTCGAAGCTCCGCAGATGAGAAGCCAAGTCCTACCAAGCAGCTTCTGTAAACTCTGTTCTTGTTCTTGTCCTCAGCAGGTCCTTGTTCTTTTGTGTAAAAAGTGCCTTATAATGCCTTGTGGCCTTCACTGGTACTGTATGGCCAGCCCCCAACTGCCAGGGCGCTAGGACTGACCGTCACATGCAGCCAATGACACCATACCTCAGCATGGCTCCAGGTAAAAGGGACATGGGTTGACAGTTTTGACCCTCTTCTCCTCACACACAGATCTCATGTGTTCTCCTCTTCGTCTCAAGCGTCCCCTTGTCTGTTGTTGCCCTTCGGCTTGGCTAGTGGCTGTGGAAGCTTGGTAGATGGCCCCACTGCAGGCACCCATGCCTCGTGTAATAAGGAAAGCTTGGGGGTTGGGGAGAAGATCACTTTGTACCTCCGTGGCACGCCCCGCTCTTCTGGTCCTCTCACTGCCACCCCCAGACTAGATACAGCATCCTCCTCCCACCTGTTGTTCTTCCATGTCACCCCAAGTTTGTACAAGGAATGCATTCACTTGGACTTCTGGGTCCAAGTCTTAGCTCATCGGAAACTTGCTTGGAAACAAACTACCTATGGTCTGGTAGCTGCCAAGCTCCTGGTTTCCTGTCAGGGTTACCTTGTGTTCCTAGCACCAGCCCCCTCCCTGACCCTTGCCTGCCTACCTGTTCCCAGTCCTCTTCCGGGTTGTGCAATAACCCTCCCAACCAGTGGTCTTTCCCACAGGCCTTCGTTCCTTGCTGTATCCTGCAGAGTGGGAGAGAGGGGACCCATGGGAGGGGTAGTCATCATCCCTTATACAAGAGTCAGCCTCTTCCCTTGTTGCTGTCATTCTCATGGTCCGGGTGGGTTGCTGTGGCAGTCTTCTAGAATGTGTAGCATTGTCTTAGAAATTCTTATCTTTTTTTAAAATGTGTTGAAAAGAAAAACAAAATCCTCAGGCTGGGACATTATCCCTGTCTGGGAATAGGGTCTGCTCTGGTGTTGCCAGCATCACCGTCACCGCGGAAGGCATTACAGAGTTTCTGTCCCGTGGGGTGGATGGAGATTGTTTCCAAGAATCAGCCACAGTGGTGAGCGCTGCTCCCCACCCCCACAGGACCTGGCTGTGACCGTGAGTGCTCTCCTTCTTTGGGGCACAGATTGGCGTGTGATGAAACCTCACTTTTCAGTTACACTGTTTAACCACCTGGAGGATGAGAAGAGGAGCTGGTGCCCTGGGCAACGCAGAATGCAAGTGTGGACACATGGACTGTTTATCTACGTTAACCTGTTCATGTTATGGACCAAATTCAACAAGGAACTCAAGGAAAATGTGTAACTGAGTATTTATGCTTTCGTATAAAACGGTTGGGGGGAGGGGTGTCTTTTTACTTTTGGTGAATTATTTTTCAAAGTCCTTTTTGCGCTGTTTCTCTCTGGTTTTTGGAAACAAGCTACAGTTTTGTATGGATTTTTTTAAATGTAATTTTGGAACAAATGATCAAATATTTTCTGAAATACCTGAATAAAGAGCATAGAATTATTGGTCATAACCATTTCTGGTAGAACTCACTGGTGTGGTTTTATGGATAATATTATTTAGTCTTTATTCTTCCATTTGTTTTCACTTTGGAAAAACACGCATTCATGTAAACTTTAGCTGTTGTGTCTAAAATGTTTCACTGTGTAGTAATTGGGTTAGTATGTATCATTTTTATCTCATCTGTAACAGTGAGTTGGAAAAGGGGATCTCCTAACAGGTTTTGTAAGTTGGATGCCCCTCCTTCAGGTAGTCCTCCACGCTTTCACTACTCTCCAGCGATGTCACGCAGCTTGAAGGAGATGTAGGTCTTGGTCTCTGTGAATACAGTGTCCCAGTTTGGTAAGAAGGGCAGCAATAGGGTGGCT